ATCAGTTAGTTCATTTATTTATTTGTTTGTTTGTTTATTTGTTTGTTTGTTTGTTTTATTTTAAAGGGATATCGTGCTTTTCACGGTGTGGCTACTCCCCAAAGTTGTGAAACTGCTTTATCATATTATAGGAAAGTGGCCAGTAAAGGTATTAATAACCATTAATAACTATTAATAACTATTAATAACTGTTAATAACTACTGATAACTGCTAATAACTGCAGTTGCTAAGGATGCTTCCATATTTGGAGGATCACACACTATCAGTAAAATAAGACTGATAGAGGAAGATGAAGAAGTAATTAATAATCAATCAATCAATTAGTTAATTATTTATTCATAGTCTAGTGTGTTCGCTGGTATCACAGATGATGAGGTCGACCATTATAAGGACGTGTTTGCTGACAGTGGAGCACAGGTATCTCATTAATTATTAATTAACTATTAATTAATTATAATTATAGCTATCCCTTGGACTTTATTACTTATTTGGGCTAGGCGGAGTTGAAAGAAATTTACCAGTAAGTAATAATTAATTTAATAATTAATAATTAATGTTTTATTAGCTAGCACTTGATCTGTTGCAAAGAGCTGATTCCCCAGCTGCCTACGGACTCATTGGGAGGGTAAGCCGGAAACCACACCTACCTCATTAATACCTAATAGATCTACGCTGAGGGGAGCCCACCTGAGATACCTCAGAGTAACGAGACGGCCATTAGGTATTTTAAAAAAGCTATTGAACATGTACGTCTGCATGCACACACGCACGCACGCATATCATTATGAATTAATTTTATTAATAGAAAACAGCCGAAGGCTACACTGGACTGGGTATTATGTACTTCTATGGCCTAGGGGTTAAAAAAGTAATTAATGAATTAATCAATTATTATTATTATTATTGTTATTGTTGCATAGGATTATACTCATGCAATGGAGTTGTTCCAAACAGCTGTTGATAAAGGATCACCTGAGGCTCACCTCTACCTGGGGATGGGATACTTATGTATGAGAATTGTTTGTTGTTGATTCATGTTGTTGTTTGTTTGTTTGTTTGTTTGTTTGTTTGTTAGACGGGTTAGGTAAACAGGCCAATCCAGTTCGGGGAGTGTCCAGTTTACAGATATCGTCATCTCAAGGAGGTGCTTCATTAATTAATTGATAATCAATTAATTAATGAATAGGTCATATATTAGCCCAGTTTCATTTAGCTGAGGCATTAACTAAAGGATTGACAGGAAGAAAGAACTGTAACCAGGCAGTTGAAGTATGGATCATTTATTCATTCATTTATTTATTTATTCATTTATTTATTTTTAGTTGTATAAATCTGTTTCAGAGAGGGGGAAGTGGGCGTGGCTACACAGGGAAGCATATCGTTTATACACAACAGGAGACGCTGACTCAGCATTATTGATGTATTTACATTTGGGAGAACTGGGTATTGAAGTGGCGCAATGTAACGCTGGGTTTATACTGGAGGAAGGTGAATAATGATGATAATAATAATAATAATAATATTTTTATTAGATGAAACTAGTGTAATGTTGAATAAAACTGAAATTTTAAAGAGAGCACTAGTAATGTGGAGCAGATCAGCAACACAAGGTAACAAGGTCCTCTACCTTTTTCCAAAAAAATGGCTCAAAAATCACCCCAAATTTTTATTACATTTTCTGATACATATTGATGTCCTTATGCTGTGTAGAAAGTTTGAGCTGATTCCGACTTCAATTTTTCAAGGTATGACCATTTTAAGAAAATGCCAAAATTTTGAAAAATACCCAAGGCTATAGTCCATGCTTTTTTCGAAAAAATGGCTCAAAAATCACCCCCAATTTTTATTACATTTTTTGATACATATTGATGTCCTTATGCTGTGTAGAACGTTTGAGCTGACTCCTAGTTCAAATTTCCAAGTTATGGCCATTCACTTTGTTTCATTCCTGAAGGTTACAGTGCTGCTCGTGTGAAATTGGGTGATTATTATTATTACGGGTATGGGACAGAGACGGACCATGTACTAGCAGCTGAACAATATCGACTAGCATCAGACCGTATGAGTAACGCACAAGCCATGTTTAATCTGGGCTACATGTATGAAAACGGTATTGGGTTACAAAAGGTGAGGCTCCACCTATTAGCTCCACCCACTAATTATCATTCCAGGACTATCACTTGGCAAAGAGATATTATGATTTGTCGTATCAGTCCAGCCCTGAGGCAGCTGTTCCTGTCAATATTGCACTCCTTAAACTCAACGCTTTATTCTATTATGACACCATATTAAAGGTA